GAAAAAGTTGAAAATGAAAATAATGCAGCAGCAGCAGCAGCAGCAGGGGCAGAGAGCGAGAGTGTTGAGTGGGAGGCAAAAACAAAAAATAAAATAAAGAGCGAGAGAGCGTAAAAGGGAAAGAGACTCAGAGCGCTCACAACAGCGACAAAGCGTAGGCAGCAAAGCGAGCCTTGTGGGTGGCTAAGCTGTGCGCCTTCGTTGCTTCTCCTACTTCTTCCTCTTCTATGTTATTCTTGTTTTCTGTCCTTTTTTCAAACCGTTGGCTTTTTGTTTTGTTTTGTCTACGAAAAAAAAAATATAAAAATAATACAGTCTCTTCCAGAGTCTTTTCCATCTGCACTCTATGGGATGTGGGAATTTTGCGCATGTACATCAAATACATAATACATGAAGTAAGTATGTATGTATGCGTATAAAATACCCTCACACTCACACACACACACATACACAGCTATGCACAGTGACAGACGCACGGTAAATTGTCATCGATTTTCTGTTCTGTTGCCATGTAAAAACCATTTAAGCTGTTACGAGTGATGATAAGAGGGGGCTATAGAGAGGGGATTGGGTGGGGCCACCATGTCGCCTGTTTAGATTGTGTTTATGTTTACGGCATTTTATGCATGCATGTTGTATATACTCAAACGAACGTAGCTATGTATGCGTATGTATCTCAAAGATACACACACATCCAGATCTAACGCTAGTTATAACGGTTGACTGGGCCAAGCTAAGTAGCCTGTCAACTTTACCCTGTATCCGTATCTCATATGCCAGTTAGTTGTGTATCCATTGGATACCTTTTGACTTGACTTTAGTTTTTATGCGGGCCCAACAAAGAAATTTTCTATCCAGTTTTTATTTCATATGCTACTTGACCCGAACACAAAGTTCGATGAAAAGTTACAGAAACGTAATTTGGGTAAAACGATAAGGGAACAGATTCGAATGCCCCACAATTAATTCACGGTGAGCTTAATAGCAGAGAAGGGAAACATTGGTGAGAATAGTTAGGACTTAAAAATACTGTTAAACTGAGGAAATGTTTAGATGTGTACAATAAATCTTAATTGGAATATTTCTGTAAAACAAAATTAGTTCAGATTAGACGGGAGTGTCCGACTGTAACATACCCTGAACGCTACTAGGAAATATCCCAAACTCTGGGAAGAAGATTGTCATTGCAATCATTCTACGATTTTCTTATATATGGATGACGAACACACTCTTATGAGGAAGGGAATCCAAAATCATCACATAAACCCACACAATAAACTCGAAATATCCATCTTGTATGGTAGGAGCTCGTTACATATTTAATTACCTAAATCCTGTATTTTACCAACTTAAATAAATAAATATTTCAACTAAGACATTCTTTAGCTTTAATATAAGTTTATAGAAACTTCAATAAAAATAAACAGCTTTTAAAGCTTCAATTTCCACTTAAACCTCAAATGTGAATATATCTTTAGCTAATATATTTTCACAAAAACCCTTTTCTAATACTAAGCATAAATTGGTAACGAAAAAAAGTAGCAAAGGCAAACATCGAAAAGAGCAACAACAAAAGGCAACTTTATTAGTTTTTCCTTTTTCATTTTTTTTTCGCTATTTACAGCTTGTTTCCATAGACTTTTTTTTGACTGACAGCGCCGCCAGTTTGTCTTGGCTCCCTTTCAAGCACATGTTTTTTCTGTGTCTCTCACTTCATCTCTCTCTCTTTCTCGCTCTCATCAGATATATATAAAAATTTTTTGCCTTTGCTTATCGTGGCAGCTGCTGCTAAAGTAGAAAAAGCAGCAAAGCCAAATTGAAAAGTGGTTTTTTAGCGTGAAAAACTGGAGCGCAACATTTGCAAGTCTCAAATTGAGAGCCCGTTTTGGCAGGTGTGATATATCAGATGCTATTCATCCATTGCCAACTGTCAAACAGTGAACGTGAGAAACGAATAAATATGTCGATCGACTTAAAGCAAAGAAAAAACGCGTGCTATTAAAGCAGAGCACACACAATTGACATTAAAATGGAACGAAATGGAATGGAATGAAATGAAACGAGTAAAGGTTTTAAATAGACCCTAATTAAAGCTATGTACATAGCTCAATGGAATAACAAGACACAGAAATAAAGTAGAAAAAGAGAGTCCAAGTAGAGAGGGGGAAATAGGTCGAAAGTATTTCGTGTGATTTGGAGCGAATGTCAATGGTTGCAATTGTATAAATGATTGAGTACCAATTACTGTTGTACAAGATTGCAATATTTATATTTTCTACCACAAAAATACTAGCGTAGCAGTGTACCATAGCATAGTATTTATTTCGGTACATTTATAGCGCATACATACAGATAGACAATAGCGTTTGGACGTATTGAAACTTTGTCGTACTATTCAGCTCTTCAACAACCGCATAAATTGCAATTTTATTTTACTTTATAGCTGTTAATGTCTGGCAACTTAAGGTAAAATCTTTTTGGACTGGCGCCTGGTCGTTGCTATCATTCTACTTTGTTTTTTTGTTTTGTCTCTCTTATTTCGTTACCCCTCTCTCTTTTACTCACTGTTTCTCTTGAATAACTTTCAAGCTGTTTAACTTTAAAACCGTTATAATTTACTTATATGGGTTTGCTTATTGCGTCTATTTCTTTATTTTTCCTATGGCTGTTGCTTTTGCTCCGAGTTCATTCAACTGTCAAAAAAAAGAAGCAATACAAACAATTAACCAAAAAGACACACACACACACACACATACATACATACATACATCTATAGAAAGGCGCTCGCGTCGTGCATAGAAAATGAAATAAAATTAAAAGTAGCTGCTGTGAGAGCAATAACAACAACAAGACATACAAACATACACACACAAACACTAATAGAAATCTGGTGAGCTTTGCCTTTTTAATGGCATTGCTATGATTGTTGTTTTTGTTGCCATTGTTTTCCCCTCTACTTTTGGTCTGTTTTTCGTTTTGTGCATCGCATCTAAATTTAACTTTCAATTCTAAACAGTCAACAATTTGCAGCGGGCAGAGATTTGACCTCCCGTCTGCCGCCCGCCTGCCGTCTCCATTCCGAATACATTTTGTGTAAGTTTTTCGTTGTTTTTGGTCTTTTACTTTGTGGTTTCTATTTTCATTGCATGCACGTATGTATGTGTATGTGTGTTCGTGTGTGTGTTGTGTGCATATATACTTTATGGCATTGTTGCTTGCATTTGTGTGCGAGCCAGACCTCCAAAACGCCTCACAGATACAGATACAGCAAAGCTATTTTTGTATCCTATAGATATGATACTCTAATGCAGATAGTATCTCAAAAGAAACAAGAGATGTTGGCACATGGCGCAATTTTATATTTTATTTTCATCTTTGGGGGCGTGTAAACATTGAGATAAATGAAAAAAAAGTTTTCTGAATTTTCAAATATATACAAAATTAAGGAGATATCGCTTGCGGAATATATTGTAAAGTATAATTGAAAATAATTATATTATTACTGTACAAAATTAGAATTTAGATCTGTGCGGTCTAAGGAGATGCTCCTTGGGCAGACAATCAGCTGTTTTTTGTTTACGTTGCAATTCAAACATTCTTCAAGCAATCTCAGTCTATAGGGTATCAGCAAACGGTACATTACTAACACATATGCATCATCTATGCATGTACATGCATATGTGTATGTATCTAACTGAAGTGCAAAGCGTTCTGGTAGTTGTTGTTGCTGCTGATGAGTCGCAGCAGCAAATGCAGTAAAGCGCGCAGAGACCGCAACAGTACAAAAACAACACAATATTACAGACAACATCAACATCAACATCAGCTAGCTAGCTCATAGACAGCGATTGCTGCAAGCACAATCATACAAACACACCCACAACACAAACACAAGCACATGAAACACAAAGAAGGAGTCAGAATTGAGGCAGCGAACGCAAGTAAAGTTGCTGGTGCTGGTGCTGCTGCTGCTGCTGCTGCTAACGTCGACTGAGGCCGTTGTCTGTTTTTTGTGTGTATCCAACGCTGCTGCATCGTCAACAACAACAACAAGAAAACAGAGCAACTTATTTTTGTTTAGCTGCCACGTTTTTTTCTTCTCTTTCTCTTTTGTTGTTATTCGTATTTTAATTTTTATTTTATTTTTTTTTTGTTTGCCTGCTTCTTTGGAGTTCGTTTTGTGCTTTGTACGCTTTTTTTTAAATGGATTTCTCTTTCGGCATGAAATTATGCAGCCACAGCAACAAAGCAAAGGCCAACAAAACGGAAAGAGAAATGAACTGAACTGAAGGCTTTTGAGAAGCAGTCGGCAGCGGCTGCTGCGTGGGCTTGTTGTATATAAGCAGAACGAAAAGAGAAAAATCATAGAAACAAAGCAACCATAACTATGAATTCGAAGTGCAATTTAATTGACAAGCGACTGCAAACGGCCAAGCAACATAAATGGAATGGCCAATTGGCACGCATATGTACGTATGTATGTATATATGTATATGTGTATGAGTGTTTGCATGTGTGTGCTGTGATCAAGTCCAAGTAGTTGGCACAGTTGTTATTTTTTTCTATCTTCAAACAACGAAAGACATTTTCGTTATTTGTTACTTGTTTTGTTTTGTGCTTTAATTGGAGTTTTTGTTTGATTGACAGCATAGCAGAACTTTTTTTAAATTAAAATCTATCACGTTACAAAGAGATAACTACATTTTTAAGCATTTACAGCATCCAAGGTCTATTCCGCTTCCGCTCATTAACAGCTGTTGCTCTCTAGCAGTCATAACCACAACGTAGAGAACAGAAACTGAAGAAGACTAATTTCCGTTCCACTGTAAGCGAGAGATTGCGACCACAAACTTACATAGTCGCAATGCATGGCAATGAAAAAAAATGAAGAACCGCTGCTGATGCGTCGCATACAAAAAGAAACACAATAGCATACACATACATATGTATGTAATAGAAAAAGAGAGCGAATATGCTCTTCTTTGGGTGGTGGTACTCACATTTTTCTCCGCCCTCGCTCGATCACCGTTAACGGCCTATCTGCTGCTATCCGCTCTCTCCGTCGTTCAGTATTTTTTTTATACTCGATCAAAGTCTTTAGTACTTATTCCATTCGTTGTTACTGTTATGTGACATTTTAGGCGGGCTGAACAAGCCGAGTTGGTGAGGAAGACAAAAATACCATTTGGCGAAACCTTAGTTTGTTTTGGTATTTGTTACCCACACTTTGCACTTTAAATATATTTGCTTCGTTGTTGTTGTGTGAATGATATTTAGCAATCGCTGCAAAAAATATACAATATTGAAAAATTTTGCATTTTAAAAATGATTTTTTTTTGTTTGAGATATTCTTTGCGATAATAAATACACTTTTCAGCTGCTGTTGCGGCTTTTGTATACATATACACGCACACATGCACATGTACACAAGCACATACACAATGCCCGCACTCACGTACACAACGCCGAAAGCGGCATGCGCTTCTTCTTATTTTTCTTCCACTTATTGAACAACGGACGATGCAGCCTTTTTTATTTTTGATACATATATTTGATAAACTCTTTATGAAAATATTTATTATTATATATTATTATCAATTTCATTTTAAATTCGAAACAAACAAAAGCATACACTACCACAGACAAAAACACACGCACACACACAAAGACAACACACACACGCGCGTGCCGACTCCGAATATTTTACTTTTTCTTTAAGCCATTTTCGTCGTCACATTTACAGCAAGAAGCACAAGCAATTTAGATGCTCTGCTTCTCTTTCACACGCTACGCGGCTATGTTGGGCACTGATTTGCTGACTCGCTCTATCGCGTGCGCTGCATTCAAACACTCACGTAATTTAACTTATGTATTTTGCTTATTATAGCATTCGCCTGCCATTCCGTACGCTATGTATGTATGTCAAACCCACTGCACTTGTATGTTGAATGCAATTTGTTGCATATTAAAGAACAAATTACATGTGTATTGTATAATTATAAGTATTTTTCCTTAAATCAAGTTAAAACACACACGCGCAGCGGCAGTACACGTCCGTACCGTTCAAGCGAGAGCGAGAAACAAAACACAAAAGAAAATATGAAAAAGAGATACGCTGACAGTGCGACCGTACTTGGCAACCATTATATTTACTAAATATGCACAAAAAATACCGTATCGTATTTGTTCTTTAAAAGCGCGTAATTCTTGCAATAATGTGATTGCTAATATTATTGAAAAGAACTGTGCCCTAATAGTCGCTATTCATTAATCGATATGGTTCTTAAAAAGACAAATGTATTATAATAGCCTGAGGCTCATAACACTTAGCTTTCGACAGTATGCATTAAGAATTTTTCAACATTGATTTTCTCCGCACTGGCAGGGTTGCACATCGATACTAAATTCGGCAACATCGATAGCCTGACAAAATAATTAGTGTGTGTTGATTTCGAGCGGTGAGAGGAGTTGTGCTACAGACCGCATTAGTAAAATGCATAACTAATTTTGGTATACAGTTAAAGTGCAGCTAATAAATATAAAGTCAATCTGAAAAACAATCGCGCAGTGCACACTAAATATCAACGAATAAACATTTGAATTTTGAATTTTATTTAACACTGGCAATGCGAATTGTGCGGCAGATTTTGTGATGCGCACAGAGCGCCAGTTAAAGCGTGAAGAAAATGGTCAAAAAAAGTTGCAAATGAAAATCGAATATACAAGTGAAAATATTTAAATAGTTGGCAATATTAATAATCAAGTGTAGGCGCAATATATACATACATATATATATATATATATATATATATATATATATATATATATACACAGACACATATGTACGTGCGTGTATACATATGCATATGAATAATATTGTTCTCGGCTATTGAGTCTCTGTATGTGTGTGTGAGAGTGAGTGTGTGCTTGTTCATGTGCCAAACAAAAAAGGGCGTCACAAAAAGAATTGAATGCACCCAAAGCCAAATCAACACTAAAATCGAGACCCCATACGGACCCTAAGGTGAGTGCGTGCCGAATATTGTTTATAGTCGCTTATTTTCGTGTTGTACCTAAAACAACCGCACCTACAACCATACACACGCACACTGGCATGCACACAACCAAACAAGTTTTGTACCTTGCACTTACACGTTCTCATTCAAACGCGTGTGTGTATGTGTGATAGTTTAGTTTACTGTATACAGTGCATTTTTATTGTTGCCAGATTCCTTTTCTCTCTCTCTCTTTCAGTCAGTCTTTCTTTATTGCTTTGCTCTTGTGCATAGAATGGATCGCAATTACAGTTAATAACAACTTAAATTTAATTCATCAAAATGGAGAATTGTAACAGGCTGCGCTCTCAGTTTTGACAATCAGCGCTTCGTTGAGTGACTCTCAATTCAATTAGCTGCACTTACCACTCTCCATGTGAGTGTAAATAGTGCAGGCATATGTGAAGCTGTTTGCATGCTCTCCATCTTTTCTTTTGATTGCTCTTTCATTGTTGTTGTTGGAGACAGGCACCGTTATATGTACAACAGTAACAACAACCAGCAGTAACAATAGCAGGTTATGTCTGCAATTGAATTAAATTTAAAAATAAAACGCAACTAAAGAGAATTTTTTACTGTTTTGTATTGTTGTTGCTGTCGCCAGTTGCTGCTACTGCTGATATTTCTGCTCAATGTCTGAGCATAGCAATTTTTTTGTAATTTATTTAATTTATATATGTATGTATTTACACATGCACACATGCTGTTCATCTTCCCTCTTCAACTAATCCCGTACATTTTCCGTTGATGAAATTATTTATGATGCTCTCTCTCTATCCTCGGCTAGTATAAGCTATGTTCGTGTTTGTGTATGACAAATGTGTTTTATTGAACGAAATATGTTATATGTTATATATGCGTTCATCTGACATTTATTCGATTTGAATAATTTCGTTGCTAAGAGCTGACCAGAGCTGGCCAAATACATAGGTACAGACAGACAGCATATGTATGTACGTATATACACATATGTCCATATATATTGTAGCTAGCCAAGATTTGCAGCGTCACAGTCTGAAGTACGTGACGTCAGAATATTTAAATAAAGAAACTAAATGAATCAAGCCGTCTCCCAAATTACCCTAATATAATATATGAATATATATATTTTTTAATGATTTTTTATTATGATTTATATTTTACTTTTATTTTTTTATGTATAAAAAAAATTTTTACAATTAGAAAACTATACCATTTTGATGGAATTTATAACTTGGCCATTGACCACAAAAAGATGTATATAAATATATATATAAATTTGTACGCACCTTTTCCCGAACAAATCTAATCTATAAAGCTTATCACTCGGCACATGAAAGAAATGCACGTGGATTCAACTTAGTAACGAATTTATAAAAAAAACATAGATTATGCTTAAATTGTTTTCTATACTCTACTAAATCTGCTCGACTAGCAGATACTATTTAATAAATAATATATATATATATATATGTATATATATATATATATATATATATATATATATATTTATATATATATAAATTATAATTATTATTATTATAAAAAGTAATTAAAGTAGAGCATCATAAAAAAATATACATAATTGTTTATATAATAAAAAGCATAATAGAAAATATTTGAACAATAAAAACATAAAAAACCGAATTATTTTTGGGCGCGCCGTTGCCCTGTTGCCAAGTCGCACATTTCGTTGTTGCTTTTTAATTTTGGGAGTTGCGGCAGCAGGTACAATTGGCCCTTCTCACCTGCTTCTCACTCGCTCTCTTGGCGTGCTTCTTTTTGGGCACGCGCCCAACAACGCTCCGTTAAACATGGCCAATATTCGCGGAATAAAAAGCAAAAGCAAAAACAAACCCAAGAGCAGCATCAAACAACAATAACAAACAAACAAACTAAACACAAATACAAATTTCAAAGGCCATAGACAAAACAATTAAATAGTTCGAAAAGTTCAAGAACAAAGTCTTGTAGTATTTTATTTTATTAATTTTTTGGCAAGAGCTAGAGCAGAGAGAGAGAGAGAGAGAGAGAGAGAGAAGGAGAAGGAGAGGGAACACAAATTAAATTAAGTTAATTAGATATGCAAATATTTGCGTGATATTTGGTACTTTGTTTGGCTTTAATGCTCTGATTATATTGCATATTGCATGATAATATATGTATACATATATACATATTCACACACACACATATATAAATATACATAAATATATATATATTTATATATATAAAATATTACAAACATATCCAAACAAACTCTTTGACCTTTGTAGATTATAATTATTTATGTATATTCATTCTAATAAATACACTTTATTGTAAGTTAGTTATTTTTCTGGATCGAAAAATTATTAAAAATCAATTAATTCAGACTACCTAAAATGCTGTAAACAATTTGAAAAAAAAAAAAAATTTAATTATGCAATTGTGAAGGGAATCAAAATTGCTTTACATAAATAATATGCGGGTCTCCAACAGCGGGCCCGTATCTTTTACAGTTTATAAGCGAATATAATTTAGCCCCTTTTACAATTTACTAACCAATATAATTTAGCTTCATTCAGTTAACTACTTTCAAGACTTGCTAATTAGTATACGAAATATATCTACGACTGTTAATTGTAGTTCTCTTCAGAGTAGTTTAGAGAAATGTGGTAAATCATCTAAAGATATATTTAAAAAAAATTAAAATTAAATTTAAACAAATTCTTTATTTAAACAAATTTTCAAAAAATTGTGTATCACTAAATTTGGTGCTACTATTTTTATGAACACAGCTGTGTATATAAATTATCAGAAGTTATTTCTCGTGTGAACTTGCTTAGAAATATTATTTGAAGCGAGGGCAGTTTTATGGTTATGTCCAAAGTCAAATGTATAAAAGCAAAAATTTCCCTAAAAAAGCACCGTAATCGTAATTAGTTTTCTCAGTAGATACAGCTTATGTATGTATATATGTCTATATACACATATATATAGAAGTTAAATCACCCTCGTTCAATCAGCTTATCGGCTTTAGTTTCATTCTGCATTTCTTCGGGCCTTTGTGCAGCGCAATCGAAATAAGCTGCTTATAATCTACTTCCCTTGAGACATTTAAATGACTCAAATTGAATTCCAAGAGGTGTAGTAATTGCTCACTATAGCCCACATATGTTCATGCATCTATATGTATCTGTAAGTTGTGAACAGCTAAATTGCTCTTCTCTATGTGAGTCATCCATCATCAACGCACAAAATTCTCACACAGCAACAAGGAGAAATAGTGCCAATTATGAAAACGTCGTTTGGATGACCAAATCTGACTTTGACCTTATAAGTAACAACGGCAACAGCAATAGCAGCAATAACAATAGAAATAGCAAGAGCAACAAAGCCTCATTCAACTTAAACAACTTCCGCTGCTTATTTATGCAGTCAAACAAATTGCACAAAACTTGTAAAAAATTTAAAAATGGTTTGAAATATACACGAGCATCAGCAACAACAACAATAATAATAACAATAATATTAACAACAATAGCAACAATCATAAAAACAACATCCACCGTGTTCACTTTCACCCATCCGCAATGCCCCAAGGGGGCGGCTCTGTTGTCTCACACTGATGGCAGGCGGCACAAGCCTCACTCTGTCAGTCTGTCAATCAATAATTTATAATAATACGCACTAGCATATATTTAAAATGTCAAGCACGTGTACAGAAATGGAGAAATAAGGAAAACATTTTCAAGTTTATAACTAAATTGACCAATAATTGAGTTTATTTATGATATTGAACAATATTTTTAAGTGAATATAAAATAATGAAGGAAACACTAAACAACTATTTTATAGGCTTAGAACATTCTGAAATATTAAAATATTTTTAATTTAATTAAAAATAATGAAAGTCAAATTTAAAAAAATATTTAATAGATTTAAAATATTTTGAATTTAAAAGAAAGAAATGAAAGTAAATATAAAAAACTATTTCATATATTAACAATATTTACTAAAATTAAAATTAAATTTAATAGTTGACTCTTTTTTTTAACTTTTGCTATAAAAGCAAGAATTCAAAAATCAACAAAGATAAGCAATATTTATTACGGGTCTCATGCAGATGATTCATCATCAGCACCAGCATCATTGGGGTCCAAAGTGCGCAAACCCGTTTCAGTATCAGGGCCCCCCTCATATGTTGGAGGCAGGTCTGAAGTGGCTTTTGGGGCCCCGCAGTTTGCATTGATTTTTTCTTTGTTTATGTTTCTTTATTAATATTTATTTTTTTTTTGTATTTTATTTTTTAACTAAGCAAACTGAATAGCATAGTAAGCATATAAGTGCATACACATATAGTTACTTATGTGAAGTTTTACGATTTATTTGCTTTGTTGTTATTTTTGATTTTCCGGTTTCTCTGTATTTGGTTTTAATATGTTGTTGTTTGTATTTCATGCACGAAGTTGTCAAAGTAGCTGAAACTGTCTTTTTTGTTTTTGTTTTTATTTTAGTTTACTCATTGATCATTCGGTGTAAAAATGTTAAGCAGGCTGATCTTTGTACTTTGAATACGCCTTTGTTTATGTATAATTAAGTTGACACATGGCCAATACATGGGGAAATGGGGAAATTCGCGGAAAAGTCAATTAATGTTGGGAGTAAAATTATGCTGAAATTATGCAATCGTGACAATATTTTATTTAAGTATTTATTAGTCATAATCATTGAGATACGAAATAATAATATCTTTATATATATTGCTGTTTCTAGGAATTGATTAAGAGTGTTTGGGCTTTAATTAATTCAAAACAGAATTTGCTCCGAGTTTTTAAAATTATCTGCTTTTTATGTCGTATTTGATAAGCCTGCAAACAAATCTTAGTGAGTCACCTTCAATTAGAAAAGATATTTAAATAAATGAACCTCAATTAAATTATTTAAAAATAAATAAACTAAGATAGTGTTCTAGTAGGGAGTTCCCGACTAGGAAATACCCTGACCT